CCCTATACCCACCGTTACCATGTTCCTTATAGAGCATCAAAGAGTACTAAACCCTTCTGGTATTCTATCAAGAGAGCTTCAGCGCATATCATTGTCTTGGCCTCATACTCAGCATACGGTAATTCTTTATGACATAATACCTGACTATGTGAAGGCATAGCGATTGATGCTATGATTTTCATATACACAATGCTGGCTGTAGTGCTTTTCACAGTTGCAAACTTGCAATGAGCCATGACTTCTACATGATCAAATTGTTCTGAATAGTTTTGGTGCTCTATCAAGACATCTGAGAGCTTCAGCTGATCTTAATGTCATATACTGTTTCTAATACAGTTGCGTTTCATCTAAGTTATCATGCAATAGTTAATAAATACTAGATATCGTAAATCACTGGCCGGTATATTAGTTTCCTTTGCTTAAAACACTAAATCTTACTGCTGCTTAAATATGTGTTATGCAAATATACATGTTTGAATAATGGGCTGAGCTGTTGGCCCAAAACAAAAAAGAGAAGGATTGACTCAGTAATATGTTGTCAATCATCCATGTCAAGTTTATTGCTTCCTCTTATCCACCCCAACCTTTTTTTTTTTAAAAAAAATTTTTCCTGGTGTTAGCGCTTGGATCAAGAGCTTACATGGAACTGTAATGTCCATGCTTTTAAAGTTAAATGTTTTCAATATAATGGATCTTTACTTTTTCAGGAAAATACACTCCCCAGTACAAATGGCTTGAGGCAGAGCTACCAAAAGTTAACAGGACAGAGACTCCTTGGTTGATTGTTCTCATGCATTCTCCTTGGTATAACAGCTACAATTATCACTTTATGGAAGGGGAAAGCATGAGAGTGATGTATGAGCCTTGGTTCGTGAAGTACAAGGTTGATGTTGTGTTTGCTGGTCATGTTCATGCCTATGAGAGATCAGTAAGAGCTAGCTCTCTATCAAGCTGTCTCCTTTTTTCTTTCCTTCTTTTGACTGAGGTGTAACTGGTGTAATGTTACTCTCAAGCTACTTATTTCTGTATTTTCTCTCTTGAAATCTCAGCAACATGCTTCTGAAAACTGTTCAGATCATGATTCATTAGACTTGCCTTCAAACTTTTTCCACTCTCAACCCTAAGGGGTTGGTCTGACTTTGCAGGCGAGCATTTAACGTGTTGCCAGACAGCCTACCGCAAGTTGAATATTTATTGTCAGTTTCTTTGGACCAGGCTGCAAGAAATTTCCTTTTGAGTTCCTTAGTCAGGGTATTAGATGGATAGATGGTCTATAGATTTACCAGTTGGAGTGCGTGCATGCAAATTGGTCCAAACACCACCTTACTGTGTTGCCAAAGAAAATATTTCAGTCTTCAAACAAGACATATTCTCTGTTGTTGCAGAAGCAATGCCCTTCCAAGAATTTGTCTTTTTCCCCCATGATAGTTACCGAATATAGTCACACTGACACATACCTGAATGAATTCCAATATATTCCTCACCCAGCAAAATTAGATTTTAGTGTTGTTCTTCAGGTGATAACTGATTTGTTTTTGTGTCAGGAACGCATCTCCAATGTGGCATACAACGTTGTAAATGGTCAGTGCACTCCTGTAAAGGATCAGTCGGCACCTGTATATATAACCATTGGTGATGGAGGAAATCTTGAAGGCTTGGCAACCAAGTAAGCTCTCTATGAATAAAACAGAAAGAGTGGAATTCTAGTGAGGCTTTTTCTATGTCATCTTAGGCTGATTCATCTCTTGATGGCAATTTGTTGGGCAGCATGACAGAACCACAGCCAGAGTACTCTGCATATAGAGAGGCCAGTTTTGGACACGCCATTTTTGACATCAAGAACCGAACTCATGCTCAGTATAGCTGGCACCGAAACCAAGATGGGTATGCTGTGGAGGCTGATTCCATGTGGTTTTTTAACAGATTTTGGCACCCAGTTGATGATTCCGCTAGTCACCTATCAAATTAATCAATTTACTCTGTCTTTTGGGGGAAATAACCACTTACCACTGTGATAACGTCAATGATGATTCTTGTCAAGTAAATTGAAATGTGTTCGTGAATGCCAATTTCGATTTTCGCCACTTCAATCATTCCACTTTGTATTCTTGTCACACGAGATATGAATGAATACGTGTGGCTTGCTTCTATTGTCATGAACTGGCGAATAAATAAAATCTCAGGCTCTTGCTTTCGCTCGCCCTTCTCTGTACCTCAGACGCTATTTTCCCCATAACTTCTTTTTCTTGCCTCTGAATCAACCCTGCTCTCAAAACTGTTTCATCATAAAGTTTAAAAAACAAAAAATGAAGGAAAAGTTTTAAGTTATTGACAATTTTACACTCTGTTTTGTCTCAACTTTGGACTGTTTGAGAAATTCAAGTCTTGTTTATTTTTTTCAATTTTATCTTCAAATAATAGCAGGAGAGAAGATATGTTAAATGGAGTAGGAGAAAATTAAATAAGAGTATGTAATTAATATTTTCTTAATCTACATTTATTAACCTTAACTAACATAAGTGGTTTTCAAGTGGAAGGAGTACATCAATGGTCCTTGAAATGATTGAATAAACTTGTCTTGTAGAAGTCAGTTTCAATTTGAAAATACGACTCAATTAAAAATTATAGAAAAAATAAGTCTAAGATATTTAAATATTTTGCGGGGAAAATGACAAATGATTTTATTATTTATTAACCTATTTACAGAATAATAAACAGATATCACACAAATTAAATTCGTCTCGTATGTTTTTCAGAATCTAAAAGGTTAGTTTATAAGAAAAAATGATAACTAGTAACCTTGTAAATCTCCAAATCTTGAAATGTTTGAAAAGAAGTTATTTGCAATTAAATATTTGAATTATTGAAATGACCAATAGAAAATATCTCATGAATTCAATGAACTTTAGTTGTCAATTTAACAAAGATTACTGGTGAATTTAATGAATATATGAAAAGTTAATTATGAATGTATAGGTAGTTTCATGAATATATACATGATCATTGATAAATTTAATGAGAACCACTTATGAATTTATGAAAAACCAATTGTTAATAAATATTCAAATTCAAAAGCATTCTTTAAATTCACAGTTGATTGTCCTTGAAATATAAGTAATGCATAAATTCATAAAATTATATATTCACACATCATCAAATTTTCATAAATTTACTATTGACCTTTCTAAAATTTACAATGGACTATACATAAATTTATAAAATAGTTTATTATTCCATAATTAATTTTCTATTAATTCACAGGTAACATTACTTAAATTTACAACTAACTTTATTTAAATTCATTAGTTATTTTCTACTAGTTATTTTAAATTATAAATAGAGGTTATGATCTTGTGACATTTCAAAATTATTTAAAGTCTTCAACTATATTAATGCCTTTATAAGTTACTTTCTCTATTAAAAAATATAAGACATTTTTTGAGGAGCTAAATGTTCAAAAAATATAAGGCATTTTTAGTTTTTTGAGTTGTAATCATTATCTTTTTTTTCAAAAGAGTCCCTATTAATGAATGACTTTATATTTATTATAAGATGTTTAATAAAGATAAATATAAAAAAATAGGATTAATTAAAAAAATAAATAATTATTTTATTAAAAATAAAATTTAATTAAAAATATATTATATTTTTAAATGTGAGGAGTATATAATTATTATTTTCAAGAATTACAATCAACATGTGAGTCTCTAGAGTTTTTAATAAATATCAATCTTCGTTTGAAAACTGGTGGGCCTACAGAGGTCTAGCTACCATCATGTGTTAAAAGCCTTTTGTTTTAAATGACAAATTTCCAGTTCGAACACGCTAGAAACAAGCAAAACTTAGGAAACCTGATCATTAGTTTTAACAAAGGATGAAATTTCTCAACTTTCAGTAAAGATTTCATTGACTAGGGCATCTCGCTCCTCCTTGGGTCTTTCGACAGCTTTACCATATGAAGATATGGCATTAATTACTCTGTTAAACAGTTTAATGTTCTGTCATTAACTACTCTCTCCATCTTTATATATAATATATTTTTTTAAAATTTATTTTTATTTTTAAATATAAAAAATGATAATAATATTTTTAAATAAGTAAATAATTTTACTCTTATTTTAAAAAATAAAATAAATTTTTAATTATATTTTATTTACTATCATCATAATATTAATTATGATATTATTAGAGATAAAATTAAAAAAATATTATATTTTTATGTAAGTTCAACAAAATAACAAATATTTACTATTCTATAGGTGGGGAGGGACGGAGTATCCTTATAACTTTTTTTCTTTTTGTTTTGTTAAAATGCATTTGACCCTGGGAAAATCGCTGCTAAGGACCCCTTCGGAACCTTATTAGCAAAATTGGACGAGAGAAATCTGATTTAGCTCTACATTCCTTAGAGTTCTCTCTACAATTAATTTGGATGGTCAAAAGACGTAATTTTCCCTAGCTTTTTTTTTGGACAGAGAGAGAGAGTGTGTGTGTGTGTCTGTGTGTTCGATAGCCTTTGGTCTAACACTCTCGTGCCGGTAATTGCTGTCCCGAACTGCCACATCGCATTTGCTGCCCTGAACCCCCCCCCGCGTCCAGGAAATTAGCGAGGTTTTTGCTTGATGTTGTTACCACTTCTAGTATCAAACCCTCTTGAGTTGTCCTTCTTGGAAACCAATTTTTTCTCTTTTGAAGATGCAAAAACAAGATGTTCAAGAAACTGCGATGAACACCAAAGAATCAACATATGATAGAAAAAACCAAGGCATTAGTCAGCTTTTAAGGTGGTTTCTGGAGATGTTTTTTCCACTCATTGATTACAGACCATGGGCATTCGAAGGAATATATGTAGGGAACTGATGGCTTTATTGATCCCCATTAAATATTTGAAACTTTAAGAGACGGTACAAACCGCATAATATTATTTGTAATAACATTAAATTTTCTAAACCACACTTTTATTAAAATTAAAATGCAACAGTGACTTGTATTTTCTTGAATGGTAACATTTTCACTATATTACAACACTTATTTTTCTAAAAAAAAAAGTAGCTATCTTCTAGACTTGTTAAATAAAGAATTGCTTATTGTTAAAATAGAACGAGGATTTGTATTTTCCTGAATTGTGACTCATTCACCCTATCGGTAATAACCCCCATCATTATCTACACATAACCATAACACTTAAACCAATTAATTAAATTAAGGAAGAGACCAAAAGAAGATATGATCAACTTTGGTCATTTGAAACTCCAAAGCTTGTTCATAAATAATATTTGAGAGGAACCAAGTTTGAAAACCATAAGTTAAGGCCCTTGAAAACATAAAAAATCATAGTACACAAGGTACAGAAGCTTGACAAAGTAGTTAAGAATTAAAATATATGAAAAAGAGGCAAAACAGTCACTTCAACAATTCTGAGCATATTTGCTGTAGCTTATGGCATAGAGGCCACTCATCTTAGCCAAAGATACGTTCTATCATGGCCAATGCATATGACACATCCTCCACGGCCATCAAAGCATTCCATAGTGGTGTACATGATAATATAATGTAGAAAAGACAACAATTAAAATCTAACTTTTAAGACATTTATAATTATCATTAACACTGAGTTTGGTGCATCTCTTGTAAAGGTACTTTTGCTAATAAGAAATATGTTAGCAATAAAATAAAAATATTAAATATTAACTTAGAAATAAAAATAAATAATTACATAATAAAAAGTTGAATTATCGTTAAGTCCAACCAATCAAGAATAATGAAATTATTAATGTTTTTTCTGGCGACTATGAAAGTAATAGGCTTTCCTACAATCTTTTTGTTTACATTTATTTTATCAGAAAATTTTGCACATCAAATGGCACACATGTAGAACTATGAATATGAAATTTCATAGCAAAAGTGTATAATCCAATGACCTTATTTAAAACACTGAAAAATTGCTTGCATATGTGATTTGGTAACTTAATTAATTAGGCTTACTTGACAATAATGAAGTTATGTGAAGCTGCAAAATTTGTAACAATGTACTTCAAAGGACTACAAAAAAGAAAAGAACAAAGAAAGAAAGAAATCAAGTTAGAAGCATATGGTGAATATAATTAATCAAAAAAGGAAAAGCTATGATTAAGTAGACATGAATATAATATAATTAGAAGCATATAATTAATTTTTAGCTGTAGCAAGGAGGACAAAAAGCTTGACAGTTAATTGTTCATTTTCAGCATTACATAAATTTAAAGGCAAGAATACTATATGCCAAAACACACACTTTTTGGTTTTAACCCCTTCTCACTTGATTGTTCGTTCTCCATCCCTGATGGTCACTAGCTAGAGCTAAGCATTACAATCAATGGGAATGAAAATGTAAGAAAATGAGAAAGGAAAAAAACAGAGAAATAGAAGTATGACAAAGAAATTACCTCAGCTTTGAATGAAGAAAAAGAAGTTGTCAGCCTTTCAATTGCAGATGCAATGCATGACCTTTACCTTGGAATACATATAAATTAATATACAAATCATTAAAAAAAAAAATTTCCTTTGTTGACCTGACCCTGTGATTGACTACCTCTGCATATAACTAAATTTCAATAAATCCCACACCACTAAACAAAAGACTCCAAAACTAAGCACCATAAAAATATTATTAAGTAAAACAACTTGATATGGTATTGTTTTAAATCAAGCAAAGAAAAGTCAAAATCTTCCTTTCCTTGATGGCTTTATTATATTGGTCCATTCAAGTTATTGGATAAATTTAGGTCTCCTGAAGTAAAGCTAAAAGTTTTTAGACAAGGAGAATAAAGTTCATTGTAGTGTTTGGCAACATATTAAATAATCTTATTATCTCTTCCCATAGTCTCAAAAGAGGAGTCCTAATAGTAACATAATCTATTCTTCAAGCATATTCAACAATTGAGAATAAAAAAATCATAATGAGAGCAAGAATACAAACAAAAACAAAGTGGCAAGGGAAAATGCTCTGAATCTTTTTTTTCCAAACCTAGACTATCTAAGAAAGCCCTTTTTCAAACCTACTCTCATATTGAATCAAGAGAAACATTCATTGTGCTCAAAAGGGGTCAAAGGCAAAGCATACCTAAGTGAGGTGAGAAAGAGAAATCATTGTGCACCTGAGTCCTTCAAGCATTAGTAGCAAAGCACTGGAGATGAAGGGCGAGAGAAGAGCACAACTTTGGTAAAAATAGAATTGCAAAGGAGTGAAGGGTTTTAGTTTTAGAGTCTGATGGTGACTCTGAAATTATATTAATTTTCATTTTTAATTTTTTAATTATATTATATTAGTAAAATTAACCTAATATTTTACCCATCCAAATGCATCTGAAAAATAATCATAATTGGTATAAAATATTTATAACATTTAAAAGAAAATTTTTATCAATTATTAATAAATCATTTTAACATAAATATATTTTTATTTCCTATTTATAATATTAATATCTTTATTAATAATATATTTTTTATTTTAACAATACAATTAAATTAATTATCTATTTTATATTAACATAAATTATTAATTGTTATTATACTTTCACGCTTAGTGACGGATATCCATAGGTTACTATCTATTAGTCACTAATTTTGTGATTGTTTTATAAAATTGTGACAACTTTGAGCATCTGTCACAATTCAGTGACTGATAATTAGTGACCAAATCATATCCATTACAAATTATAAACTTTTAAAAGAAATACTGATTGATATTATCATTTGTCACTAATTCATCACTAATCACTATAATTAATGACAGATATAAAGTGGTCACTAATTATTCGTCGCTAATATGATTTTTTTTCTAGTAGATATAATTGTTATCACCCTAGCATTTAGATGGTGCCTTATAAGGTATTATATGGGAGGAAATGTAGATCTTTGCTTTATTGGATAGAGTTGAGTGAGAGGAGTTTCTTGAGATTGGATTTTGTAGATCAAACTACTTAAAAATAGAGTTTTGTAATTTAGGCCAGCTCGAATTCGTCTGAAAAAAGTTAGGGTTGGGCTTGGTTATATGGGTTTTTTTAAGAGGATATGATACTTTAAACCCTATTTGAATAAGCACAACTATTGAAAATTTCAACTCTATATGTATGTAGAGTTGATAATTTTGGCTAAGCCTGATGAGCTAGCCCAAACTCGGCCAAAAAAGGTTAGAGCTGAGCTTGACTATATGATTTTTTTTAAAAAAGATATGATACTTTAAGCCTAATTCAAATAAGCCCAACCCGCCTGAATTACCGGTTCTACTTAAAAAATAGAGTTGATTAGATAGAAGCTACTAACGGCTCATAGTAGACAAAAAAAGTTACATGGATATGAGAAGCAGATTGTTGGAGTCTATGGTTAGGGACTATGTATTTTTTAGGGTTACATTGATGATTGGGGTTGGGAGGTTAATTTGAGCCAAGAATTTGTCCCTCAAATTTATTGGTCCATTTGAAATCTTGGAAAAAATTGGACTGCTTGCATACAGGATAGCACTACCATCTCATCTATTTGACATCCATGATGAGTTCCATGTGTCTCAAAAATCATTTGTGATTAGCTCCAAAGTCACTATAGTTTCATATAGAAGATACTTAATTTTAATAAAGTCTCATGGAATGGAGAAATTTCATTTAAGCCCTAACATACTATATGAAATTAAAATTTAAAATTCATTTACATTAAAGTACTTAATTTTTTTAATTTTTAAATGGAGGAGCTTGAGTTTTGGGCACACTAAGAGTCAAATATGTTTAAAAAGGCTAGCTCTAATGGGCTCAAAAATAACGGACTAGCCCTTTGGGTTGAGTTCTGACTTGTTTAAGCAAAATATTAATATTTAATGAATGAGAAGGGGGAGATTTCAAATATGAAAAAACTAGTAAAAATGTTTGTAAAAAATTTAAAAAAAACTAAGCCTAAATAGAAAAAGAAAATCTTGATATTTTTGTCATTAAAGAGCTAACTCATATTGAAGTACAGTCAAATACTGTTAATGTTAAATATGATAGTGATGAAAATGATAATGATCATTATGATGTTGCTGTTAATGTTTGCATATTATTATTTTGATATTTAGAGAAAACTTAGTTGGTTTATTTAGTTTTGTTTGGTTTAATTTTGGTAATTTGAAAATGATTTGGTATTTTAATTGGTTAATATTTGGAAAAATGACAATAAAATCCCTCTAAAACGTATCAATGACAATTTGGTCCTTCAAAATGCAATAATTCCTGTGAAGTCCCCAGGGACTTTTCTATCATTAATGAATTTATATAAATTACCAAATTTTTCTTGTTAAAAATAAATGATTCACAAATTTTGTTTAAATATTTACTTCTTTCTTTCTTATATTCGTAACAATGTAACAACAAATCACAACTTTTCATGTTAATTTCTTATTTTTCGTTGCATTATTTTGAATATAAGAAAGAAAGTTGTAAATATTTAAACAAAATTTATGAATAATTTATTTTTAACAAGGGCAATTTAGTGATTTATATAAATTTATTAATGATAGAAAAGTTTCTAGAGACTTCAAGAGAATTATGACATTTCAAGGGATCAAATCATTATACATTTCAGAGAGATTTTATTATTATTTTCCCTTAATATTTCATCATTTATAGTTTAATTTGTTTTATTTTTATATATTTATTTTTAAGAAAAAAAATTAAAAGGACTTGGAGTCCTCAAGGCTAGCTTTGAGTTCGTGAGCCCAAGGGTTGGGCTTTGCAAATATAGTTTTTAAAATAGGTTTAGGCTCGAGCTTGAGAGAACCCTTATATTTTTTTTTTAACTTTATTTATATAATTTTCTAATGTATTGAATTAGTATTGAGAATAGTACAATTTATTAAATATTTATTTTAAGGAATGAAGATGAAGTTAGTGTAGTTGTTGAAATAATAAAAAAAGCATTTTTTTTTATAAAGTTACATGATAACTAAGTTACTTAGTTTCGAACGTTGTGGGCTCAATCCGGACACTCCTAAAAAAATTTTCACATTAACATAGTCTCAAATTCAAAACGTTATATTTAAGCTAATTAAGTACTGAAAATTGAAATGGTCAAAACCATAAAAAAAATCAAATTGATTATAAACAAACATTTTATTAAACCAATCAAAATAATGATTTAACAGTTCTATAGTTTAATTAGTTTATAACCCTTTCTAACACCTAGCCATAAAAAACACACTCTCTTTGGATATAAGTCATTTTGTAAAAGCACTCTTTGGTTCAAAATATAGGTCATTGACTAAATGTTAAATTTTTTTTCATTTATACCCTTGTTTTAATGAGGTTAATATAATTAACGAGAGTAGTTTAAATATTCCACTCAAGAGCATAAATGAAAAAAATATAAACATTTTTTAAAAAATCATGATATTAATCAAGGTTTTTTCAAAAAATATAAGTTAGTTGACAGTGATAATATATATTGTGGTGTGAGGGAATATAATTTAACTATACCTTGGGGATATGATGAAGAAGCTGTGGGAGGAAGTGCAGCGGGAGCTGGCGCCGGCGCCGGCACCACTTGTTGATCCAGAGAACGATAGAAGGGATACAATTCATAACGAATGATGCAACTGGGAAATAGAATCCTTCCTCCTTCACTGCCCTGACAACACCATGTAAGGTTCCCAATTGCAACACTGAGACACTTTCTGCAATCTTGGGGTGAAAGGTCCGGCGTGCACTGAGCTACACAATACAAAGTTTGAGACCCCGAAATATTATTCACTCGTGTCGTCTCATACTTCTTTTTCCCGACAGCAGGTTTCGCCGCCTCAGCCGCTGTCTTGTTCATAACATCGAACAATAATCTCATGAACCTTTCCTGGTTGGTCATATTTGCGGTGTTGTAGTAACCGTTTCTGATGCTTGTGTCGACTGTGGAGAAGAAGGAGTAGTTGGAATTGCGAAGCAAGCACTGGTGGTACCAGATTATGGCCTCCTTCGAGAACCTGCACTCGGAACGGATTCGCTGGCTCGCGTCAACGACGCATTCGTGGCACAACTGGAGGGTGACGTCACCACGACACATGAAGAGGCCGTATACAGTGTCGCCGCCCTTGGCTACGGTGGTGTTGTAGAACTCGGCGTTGGTAACGGCATTGGAGGTTAATGAGGAGAAAAGGGTGGTGAGGTCCGATTGATAGGCACTATTAGCAGTGAAGTTTCCGTCAGTAGAACAAGCGTGTTCAAGATAAAAAGTTTGAGCTTCAGCAGTAGAAAAACAGAGGAAGCAAATGAAGAAGAAAAGGAAGAAAGTTTTGTGGCAACCCATAATCATAAACCTCATGGCAAGGGGTACTGGACGGCTTTGCTAGTGAGTGGTGTTTTTGAGGTGTGTTGAAGGCAAGTGGGTAGGGAGTTTATATACAAATACAAGGTTAAAGTATCCTAATTTATATGCGGTGTAATTTTTCCCCAACATTTAAAAATGGTGTATTACTTGCCATTAAAAAAAATAACTCTAACTGTTAGTTAACCTAAAAAATTATAAAAAAATGACCTTAAAAATTACATAAAGGACAGATAAAATTACAAATAAATATCTTATAAAAATTAATGTCAATTAAGTCCCTAAATCAATATTGATCAAAGCTCTTCAATCCGCTTCATTGATCTTGGCAGGATTTTTGGATTTGATTCTTGGACTCTTCCTTGCCACGGTGGTGGTCAATTGAAGATGGTGGATGGTTGTTGGTGGATGTTTTTATTTGTCGTAGCTGTAGTGGCAATGTTTCAAGCATGAATGGCATCTCCACACATGGCTCAACTAAATTCACGTGTGAATCATGTTGATTCAAGTGTGAATGGTTAAATCAGGGATACATCTAGAGTGGGGCAAGGGGGGGACCATTGCCCTCCCACCCTCCACTCACTCTTTGAAGAAAATTAGAACTTTTTCCTGTAAGAAACATTAATATAGATTTTGGCCCCCTCACTTCATGTAATATTTTCAATCCCCCCCCCCCAACATAAATTCCTGGATTCGTTACTGGGTTAAATAGAACAATGGAACCTTTCTGTATGCTTATTCTAGCACGGATGAACACTGGTTCACATGTAAATGAGCATACAGTGTCAAAACATTTCACTTTGACTGATTCAAGTGTAAGTGAGACACATTCAAGAGTGAATGACATTAAGACACATGAAATGATTTTCTAAGTTAAAGATCAAGATTTTCATGCAATATCTTTTAATCAAAACTATTTTCATGCAAATGCAAGCTTTGAAAATTAAAAGATTCATACATAAGTTTCTAAGAGATTTAAAAATAAAATCAATTCATATGCTTAGTCTTTTCTTGTATCTTCTGGCATTGGAGGGTTTGCCATGAGTAAAATAAAATCAATTAATAATGCACTTTATCTATAAAGACAACATTCTCTCGAGTTTTGTTATATATCATCAAAACAGAATGTATCTAACAAGATTGGCTTCTACTCGTAGATAATGTTCAATTCTAGGGAGGAGCGAACATAATGTTCCATTAATTCTAGACAGTGTAGGAGCATTTCCAATATGATATTTGATAGAATATCCCAAGTATGTTTGTGCAAATTGTGATAGCTAGTTCGACAAACATGGGCTTCTCTGAAAACCTAACCATATGAAATATCCCAATCTCGCATAAGCAGTCTTTTTATATCTTCCGCATTAACCAAAAGCAAGGTCAATTCTATCCTCGGAGTTTTGAGATTTCCGATAGCTTCAATGGAATCAAAACACATCTTAATCATTCTTAGATCTTATCGATGAAAACGTTCTCAAATACTCAACAACCTGTGTAGGAGTGAACAGATTTTTTTTTTTAAAAAAAAAACGACCCCAAAAACGTAAGAGAACCCAATTTACAAGTCTAAGAAAAGTCATTCATCTGCATGACTGTCGCGACCCCATGGCAGTCCAATTTTAGACCTAGGGTTAGAATTTAAATTATTATTTTTATGGTTCTATAAATAAAACTAAGAGTTTTCAAATTATATGGCTTTTAATAAATATTAAGTAGAATGTTCAGAATTGCTCTTGGTCTTTCCCCTCCTCTTTCTCTCTTCCACCTCTCTTGTTCTCTCTGTTTCCCTCTTCCCCTCTCCAGTTCACGTTAGTCGGTCTCTCTGATCATCAAGCTAACCCATTTTACACGTCTAAGAAAAGTCACTGCATTTACATGATAGTCGCGATTTCATGTCAGGGAAACTTTATTAGGAAGTTTTCTCCTTCATATTTTCACAACAGACCGAGTCAAGACCGACTCTCTTGTACAAGTAGTGATGATTCATAATTTTGGGTCCCATTATAGTATTTGTAGCCTCCTCTTAAGTCTTAAGTATATTTTGAAGTTATAAACCCAATTGAGGGTGACATGCATTATCATGAGTCTCAAATCAAAAAATTTCAGAATATTAATTAAGTCCCTAAATCAATATCGATCAAAGCTCTTCAATCTGCTTCATCGATCTTGGCAGTATTTTATGGATATTTTGATCTTTTCAAAATATGACTATGTTTATTAAATATATTTTTTATCTTACTTTTATCTTCATACTAAACATATTTTTAAACTTCATTTTCACTTCTGCTTTCATTTCTATTTCCACCATAAACACTTCATTATCATGAAAAGAGGGATAAATAAACAAGTGATGAAATTAGAAAAAAGCATTAATTATTTTAATTTTGCCTGAATTAAAAAAAGTTTTCAAATTATGCATACGAGACTCCTAGCAGTGGCTAGCATAGGCAAACTTTTTATATCTTCCGTATTACCAAAAGCAAGGTGAATTCTATCTTGGAGTTTTGAGATTTTCAATAGCTTCAATGGAATCAAAACACATTAATCATTCTAAGATCTTATGGATGAAAGCCTTCTCAAATACTCATCTACCTCAGCAATAGTGAAAATAAATTTTTTATATAAAAAAAGAACCCAAAAACGTAGCCGAACCCAATTTACAAGTCTAAGAAAAGTCATAGCATTTGCATGATTGTCCGATTTTATTTTCCACGTACTGATCCAATCGAGCGGTTTTTTTCTGTCTGGGACAGGCAGGGTCATCCATAATTGGGTCCCATTATTGACATTAATTTTCTCTTCTTGTCTAAAGTTGATCAACTTTTCTTCTCTTCAGCCTGAAAAGACACTTTTTTTGTTAGTTTACACACTTTCTCGCGCATTCTTTTTCCAGCAGACAATTGAATATCTTAGATAATAAACAAATGGAGCACTGATAGAAAGGGAAGCTTTGTCAAGCGTCTCCATCACTCGTCTGCAAAGCATTCTCTTTATGAAAAAATCGTGACTTAGTAAGGGAAGGTTTGCACGATTAATATTCCTAATTTTTTTTTCACAAAGTGCTTGATTAATATTTCATGCTGATTATCTGGGATACATATCTATGTGAGTGATGGAATATGGAACAATGGATAGCTAGACTAATAAGGATTTATTTAATATATTTGGATTATCCATTAGAAATAGTTAAATAAGGATATTTATTTATTAGACTTAGAATTTATTATTTATTTTATCGTTATCTTATACATTAGCATCTTTAAAATTTCAATTAGAATTAAGATTTAAATTTAAATTATTATTTTTTTTATTATTTTAGGGCTCTATAAATAGAGCTAGAGTTTTTAATTATATGGCTTATGATAAATATTAAATGGGATTTCCAGAAATGTTCTTGGTCTTCCCCATCCTCCTTTTTCTCTCCTCCGCCATTCTTATTCTCTGTCTTTCCCTGTTCCCCTCTCCAGTTCACGTCAATAGGTCTCTTTGATCATCAAGCTAAACCATGACAGTCTTCTTTATATTTCCACAACAAACCGAGTCAAGACTGTCTCTATAAACATTTTATCTAAAAAATTTCTCCGTCCCAAAATATAAGACACTATAGATAGATTAAGATTTCATTAAATATACCAATTTTAATATTATCCTTTCTCTCTCTATAATTAATTTTCATCCATTCTCTTTTAATATATTAAGTAATGGGTATTTCTGAAAATTTATATTTTTATTTTGAAAATATAAGTTTGTTAAATGTATTTATTAAGATTTATTAGTATGTGAGATTTTATCTAAGTGTCTGAGACGGAGAGAGTATTAATAATTAGAACTAAGAATAAAAAGAAAAAATAATATACTCCATTCAATCTTTATTGTAGGACATTTCAACCAGTTCACGCATATTAAGAAAAGTTAGTTTTTTTTGTTGATATCATAAAAAAATGAGATATACTTTCATTTTTAATTACCCTTAACTTTAAATCATGATGCAACTACATTAAGTACCTTCGCATTAATCAAAAAAGGATAAAGTTGTAAAAAATAATTTAATTATTATAAAGTGTCTTACATTTTAAACTAAAACTTATTTCTAAAAAGTGTTCTATAAATAGGATCAAAGAGAGCATAATTTTATAAGAATCAGAATTTGTTTGATAAGCGGATTCTTTAAAAAGCTGCTTATATTTTGGATTGAAGAGAGTAAATATGAGAGCTCTCCCATATCTAACAACTTAATTTTTAGAATGAGCTCTCTTTTTAACCTTGTGTTCATGACACACTCCTCATCAAATAAACATTCACCGATGCGTTGTCCTTGCTTTTCCCTATTCTTCTTTATCTTATTCTTCTTTATCTTTTAATTTTTGTTGTCGTTTCAACACTTCATGATCTTCTGTGTGGGTTCCGTTCCCGAGGCATCAGAAGTAGTTCCAGTAAAAATTTTAAAAGCAGTCATAAAAAGCCTTAATAATATGATCAATTAAACATAACAATTTGTGCATTTAATTTCATAACAACAGTCTATCTTGTGGATGTACCAAACAGCCTTGGCATCCAACAGGAAGAAGAAATTAATGCCTTGTAAAAGCTACTAGCGAGGAAAACATTCACTTGTAGATACATCATTGGAGCAATATGTTTCATTACTTCCGACAGTAAGCTCCATCGGACCATGCTGAACGAATGCAGGTTCCTGTGGAAGTGGCAATTGAATTGAATCATTGCTAAGATAATGAACAATTGTAGCCATGGAAGGCCTAGTGTCTGGATTTGCTTGAACACATAACAATCCAATGTGGATGCACTTCATCACTTCATCATATGATCCAACTTCTTTTAGATTTGAATCCAATATCGCCAACAATATTTCATCTCTCCATTGATTCCCAGCCTGCCAAAATGACGAAGTGAAATTTTATTATTTCATTCATCAGTATTACCCTTCAATTAACTTATAAATATTGATAAAAAATACAATTAAGCTTGACATGAATACATCAGAAATATGAAAAAGTTATCATAACTTACAAGCTTAAGAGGCCATCAGCATATTGTGATTGATCATGACAATTTGTACTTTTCTTTTCACTAATGATTTCTAAAACTATAACTCTAAAACTAAAAACATCTGATTTTTCAGAGAATTGTCTAAACATTACATATTTTGAAGACATATAACCACTGAAAGTAAAAAAGAAATATTAATAACAAAATTTCATCCTATGGATGTACCAAGATAGATGAAGAGGCTAAAGGATGAAAAATAATAATTTAGAACTCACTATGTTCCAACAATTTTACTTGTAGTTCCCTCATTGTCATTGATGGCAACCATTCTAGCCAAGCCAAAATTTAAAATTTTTGCATTCATTTCATTATCTAGCAAAATATTGTTAGGTTTGAGATCATGATGTATAATTTTAAGGTGAGAATAGTTATGAAGATAGAGAATCCCTTGAACAACTCCTCCTATGATTTTATAGCGCTCCAACCAATTTAATACTCTGCTTCTAGTAAAAATAGTTGTGAGTGACTTCAAATCACCAGATAAATAATATAGCAGTCTTAATTTAAGTAATCAATTCCAACAATAATATCATGGAAGGCACAAAACAATAATAACAAGAGTAAAAATGAGTTTAGAAGAGTCAAACCAAATAGAAAGTAATCAAGGATTTTATTGGGAACGTATTCATATATAAGCATTTTCTCCTGCTCTTCTATGCAGAATCCTAAACAACGCTACCAAATTTCTGTGTTGAAGTCTGACTATTAATAGAACCTCATTCTTAAATTCTTTTACACCTTGGCCAGAATCATTTGAAAGTTTCTTTACAACTAATTCTTTGTCATCTGGAAGAATACCTTGAAAAAAATTGTATGCTTGATTAGAAAGAAAAAAAACATATGCATATGTGGGTGTATTATATATGTACATTTAACTTAATGATAGATGGCACTCATGACCTTGTAAACTTCTCCAAATCCACCATGTCCTAACTTATTTTCGTGTGAAAACTTATTTGTTGCAGCTTCAATGGTTGCCAAATTGAATTCCAGAGGCTCTAGAGTGGCGCTTTCGCTTCCAACAATAGAAATTTGAATAAAAAAACACAATTAATACTAAAAGGACTCTCATATTGTGTGTGCGCGTGTGCGTGTGGGTGTGTCTTCCATTTAGCCAAACTGTACATGAATAAAGAGATAGCATGAAAGTTACTTACAGTATAGTTGCTTAAGAAGAGCCCTACGACTCTTCTTTATGCGATTCTTTATGACATAGTAGGCAAAACAAAAAAGTATCCCCGAACCGACAAGAGAAACCACAACTATCACAATAGTCCGTGCTGATTGGCCGTTCTTTACTGTTTAAACAACAGATACTTCCATATCTCGATATCATTGAATATTGTAAATTACAAATTTACAACTATATATTATATTGTTAAAATACTCCAGCAATTATTTTATTTATATATATAGATATTGAATGCATTTTGATCAAAATAAATTATTACGAAGTATACAATCATTCATTCATTCATTCAAAAGAGAATCAAACGAATTCAAAAGTGAATTTTTCAAACTTTTACTAATTTATAAATAGTGAAATATTAAAATGAATGAATGAATGAGTCAATGAAGAACAACGCCTCATCTTTAGAAATTCTCATTCTTCTACCCCCTATTTTATGTTCAATATCCATTGAGTGACTTGATTAGTGGAATAACCATCATGACTCCAAAATATCAGCTCGCAGAAGACTACTCGTCAACTGTAAAACAAAGTCAATTTTGTGGACATGGGAGGACTAATTATCAATTGAGATTTAATTTGAATTATATATATATTGGGATAATGATCGTATAAAATTTGAAAAATGGTAAATTAGTATAGCTTAACTATTTGAGCTAATTTAATTCATTCTTCATGAGATGCACATTTCTGAAGTCTTCATCCTTCATGTGAAAAGTTGGGGCTTGAGATGGACATATATCTTTTGCCGTCAATTAACCATTAATTAGAATTTTCAGAATTGGTCTTGGTCTTCCCCGTCCTCCTTTTTCTCTCTTCCACCTTTCCAGTTCACGTCAATAGGTCTCTCTGATTGATCATCAAACTAAGCCACTTTACACGTCTAAGCACAGTCACCGCATTTGCATGATATAGTCGCGATTTCATTATGTCAGGCCGACTTTAGGAAGATTTCTCCTTTAATATCTCCACAACAGACTGAGTCAAGAATGTCTCTTTCCTACAAGTAATGATTCATAATTTTGGGTCCCATTATAGTACATTTACCCTCCTCTTAATTATATTTTGAAACTTATAAATCCCATTGAGGAATCTGATGTGTAAAAGGTCGTGGATAGGGTGACATTATTATGAGTCTTGAGAAGTCTCACAAGTAAAACGTGCTTTATATTTCTTCTATTCCAAAATATAAACATTTTTCTATATTAATTTTGGTTTAAAATATAAGCAACTATCGACATATGAAATTTTTTTTTTATTTTACTCATTGTATTTATAACTTAGATCATTGTGAAAATTTATCTCCCACTCATCATAAAGTGCATTGATAATTGAAACTAAGAATAAAAAGAAAAAAAAAATATATATATATATATATATTTTATGAGAATTATATATATATATATATTTTGACTATGAGGGTTCCCCATACCAAAACAACCTAGTCTTGCAGATGGATTTTTTTTTTTTTTGACTTGTGGTCATGACACTCTCCTCTTCAAATGAACATATAATGTAAAGTGAAAAACTTACGGACACGTTGTCCTGGATTTTCTCCCCTCAATCTTCTTCATCCTCTTTTAATTTTTTATGTCTTTTCAACACTTCATGATCTTCTGAGCGGGTTCAATTCCCAAGGCATCAGAATTATTTCCAGTAAAAGATTTAAAATAAAGGGGATCATAAAAAGTCTCGATAATATGATCAATTAAACATAACATAACAACTTATGCATTTAATTTCATAACAACAGTTTATCTTGTGGATGTACCAAACAGCCTTGGCATCCGACAGGAAGAAGAGATTAATGCCTTGTAATAGATACTAGCGAGGAAAAAATTCACTTATAGATGCATCATTGAGCAATATGTTTCATTACTTCCAACAGTAAGCTCCATCGGACCATGCTGAACGAATGCAGGTTCCTGTGGAAGTGGCAATTGAATTGAATCATTGCTAAGATAATGAACAAGTATAGCCATGGAAGGCCTAATATCTGGATTTGCTTGAACACATAACAAACCAATCTGAATGCACTTTATCACTTCATCATATGATCCAAATTCTTTTAGATTTGAATCAAATATCCCCAACAATTTTTCACCTCTCCATTGATTCCAAGCCTGCCAAAATGACGAAGTAAAATCTTATTATTTCATTCATCATTATTACCCTTTAATTAACTTATAAACATTGATAAATAATACAATTTTAAGCTTGACATGAATACACCAGAAATATGAAACATGTTATCATAACTTACATAGCTTAAGAGGCCGTCCGCATATTGTGATTGATCATGACAACTTGTATTTTTCTTTCCACTGATGATTTCTAAAACTACAACTCCAAAACTAAAAACATTTGATTTTTCAGAGAATTGTCCAAACATTACATATTCCGGAGACATATAACCACTAAAAATAAAAAAATGAAATATTAATAACAAAATTTCATCCTATGGATATACCAAGATAGATGAAGAGGCTAAAGCATGAAAAAATAATTTAGAACTCACTATGTTCCAACAATTTTACTTATAGTTTCCTCATTTTCATTGATAGCAACCATTCTAGCCAAGTTAAAGTCTGAAATTTTTGCATTCATTTCATTATCTAGCAAAATATTGCTAGGTTTGAGATCACAATGTATAATTTTAAAGCAAGAATATTCATGAGGATAGAGAATCCCTCAAGTAACTCCTCCTATGATTTTATAGCGCTCCAACCAATTTAATACTTTGCTTCTAGGAGAACCTAAAATAGTTGAGTGACTTAAATCACCAGATAAATAATATAGCAGTCTTAATTTAAGTAATCAATTCCAACAATAATATAATGGAAGGCACAAAACAATAATAACAAGAGTAAAAATGAGTTTAGAAGAGTCAAACCAAATAGAAAGTAATCAAGGCTTTTATTGGGAACGTATTCATATATAAGCATTTTCTCCTGCTCTTCTATGCAGAATCCTAACAACGCCACCAAATTTTTGTGCTGAAGTCTGGCTATTAATAGAACCTCATTCTTAAATTCTTTTGTACCTTGGCTAGAATCTTTTGAAAGTTTCTTTACAGCTACTTCTTTGTCATTTGGAAGAATACCCTGAAAAAATTGTATGCTTGATTAGAAAGAAAAAGCATATATGCATATATGGGTGTATTGTATATGTACATTTAATTTAATGATAGATGGTACTCGTGACCTTGTAAACTTCTCCAAATCCACCATGTCCTAACTTGTTTTCGTGTGAAAACTTATTTTTTGCAGCTTCAATGGTTGCCAAATTGAATTCCAGAGGCTCTAGAGTGGCGCTTTTGCTTCCAACTACACAATTTTTTTTTCAAAACTAAAAGCAGTTATAGAATAATACCAAAAGGACTCTCATTTGACTCTTCCATCTAGCCAAATTGTACATGAATAAAGAGATAGCATGACAGTCAATTACAGTATAGTTGCCTAAGAAGAGCTTTACGATTCTTCTTCATGTGACTCTTTATGACATGGTAGGCGAAACAAGAAGTGTCCCCGAACCAACAAGAGAAACCACAACTATCACAATAGTCCGTGCTGATTGGCCTTTCTTTACCGTTTAAACAACAGATACTTCCACATCTCAATATCATTGAATATTGTAAATTACAAATTTACAACTATATATATTATATTGTTAAAATACTCTAGCAATTATTATTATTATATATATATATATATATATTAAATGCATTTTGATCAAGATAAATTATTACGAAGCATACAAATATTCAGTCAATAAAAAAAATCCAACGAATTCAAAAGTGAATTTTTGAAAATTTTACTAATTTATAAATAGTGAAATATCAAAATAAATAAATGAAGGAATAAATAAAGAACAGGCCTCATCTTTAGTAAGTCCCATTCCCTTTTTCCCCTCTTTTTGTTCAATATCCCTTCAAATATTGGAGTGATTTGATCAGTGAAATATCAGCTCCCATGCAGAAGAAGACTCGTCAACTTTCAAACAAAGTCAATTTTGTGGACATGCCATGACTAATGATCAATTGAGATTTAATTTGAATTATATATATTGGGATAATGATCGTATAAAATTTGAAAAATGATAAATTAGTAGAACTTAATTATTTGAACTAATTTAATTCATTCTTCATGATGATACACATTTCTGAAGTCGTCATTCTTCGTGTGAACAGTTGGGGCTTGAAATGGGCATATATCTTTTGCCGTCATTTAACCATTAAAACCAATTTTTCAGAGGATTAATAATGTAATATAAAGGAAAATTAATCTGAAGGTCCTTATATTTTTTTAAATTTTTGAATAGCTCCATGTAGTTTATTTTGGTTTAATCAAGCTCTTATAGTTTGATTCATTTGATATATTATTCCCTAAGGGTTAAAATTATTAATGGATGATTAAAATTTATAAAAAATACTTTTAAAGTTTGTACAAAATTTGATTTAGTATTTTTGTAAAAAAATTGATTTAAGACTGTTTACATGTTTATTAAATTTTTTTTATGAAAATTCTATATGCACAAAAATAATTTAAAATAAATAACCTAATTATATAAATTTTGAGTTATAAAAATTATGTAATTAATCCTAAGATTATATAATTTTTAATAAAATGACTAAGGAAATGGAGTAAGAAAATTTTGGTAGTAATTAGCCATGGTAAAGGTGAAGGATGCGCAAGGGGTGATGAGATCGACAGTGGCTTTCCAGTTCGTAGTGGTTTTGTCATTATGTGTTGCAGTGGGAAAGAAGGTGGTTGATTGATAAGGGAGAGGCTCGCGCAAGTGATGAAAATGATATATGATTTGATTTAAGTATCAACGGTTTGTTATCATTTAACTTAGTGTATAGGGTTATTATTATTTGATTTAGCATCCAGAGTTTTTTTTATATGTAAGTATTATATCAAATAAGATAAGGTATTTAGACTAGTAAAATATCTTTGTATTCATACTTGAATGTTAAATAGAATTATATAATTTTGTCTTCCTTTTCTTTCTTCTCTTCCTTTCTCTCTCTCTCTCTCTCTTTCCCATCCTGTTTCACATCAATTAGTATTAGAGCTTAGTCCCACCTCTCTTTTTTGTGTTGTTATTATTATGTTTGAGATCCAAAGATGCCCCAACCGAAACAAGGCCTGCACCAATAGAGCCGATAGACTCAACTTGCCAACCTACAAAAAAGTGATGGGTTGATTGGGTTGTAGAAAATGGATTCATGTAGATATGGAATGGTTTTAGCCTGTATTGTATAACTTGAACCTACAGCGAGCTAACCTACAAGTTGGCAGGTTAGCTCACTTATATTTAAAAAAAATAGATAGAAAATAAACATATAAGATTGAGTTTAAAGTAAAGTATTTAAAGCAAACATGCATGGAATTGCAGTTAAGTACTTGACACTTGCACATTTATTGAATTTAAGTTTAAATTATAGCAAAGAATAATAAAAACACACCACTCAAATATGAGTTAAATATCTCAAATCATAATATTATATTTTTATTTTTTCAAAATAAAGATCTGATTTAGAAATTACCAACCATTTTTCAATAATTAATTGGACTCATTCATTTTTGTTCTCTCAATATTGAGGAATACTAAAATCTAAACAAAACCAAAAAAGAGAATGTACATATAAAAAAGAGAAACTTGTGTAAAGTAAAGTGTAAAGACTAGAGAATGAAAAAATCACAAAATTAAATTAGTTTATATTTAAGATGTGATACAAGCATGGCTTGATCAAGGACTTTTATTGTTATTTGAATTATTAGTTTTTAGGGGGAATATATGATTCTTTACAACAATAAATAATAATAAAAAGAGGTGAATTTGTCATTTGTAAAATTAAAAAATTATTAAAAGTATGTTTTTACTAGGTTATGAGTTGGCAAAATTACAACGTGTGCAGGATACAAGTTATGCTAGCTTGCCCTGCCAAACCCGCAACTCATTGCGGGCCAATCTACAACCCATGAGTTGGCCCATATTATCAGCTCTACATCAAACTTCAACTTGAACAATGCCAAAATCTCAGTCACCCCTCTCCCAATGTCAGTTCACCATGCAGCCACTACTATTGTATTCATGAAGAGCTCAGCCAGACCACCAAAGCAAGTCACCAAAGGACACCTCACGCACCTCCATACACCAGTCAACATCTTTGCACATAAATCTCATGTGCCTCATGTTCTGATCCTCCTTTCCTATGCATGAACTCCACCTGCATGTTGTCACACGCTTGCCAAACGTGCTAATTGTATATTTGAAGTGTAACTGGCACAAAACCAAAAGAAAGAGAAAACTCTCGTTTATTGCTTGAAAACTCATATGCCAATACACAAAGACACTATGCTATTTATACTAAACTAAGTATGAAATGGAGCAAAGGAAGATAAGTGGTACATTACAATTATTTTATTATTTGCATTAATGGTAGCAACCCAACGGACCTTCGTTTATGCTCTTCCATACGTTCCTTCACGGCAACTGTTTTCTTCTCTTCAACGTGATTGTTCCGTTTCTATTTCAGTAACTTCCAAATTTTATATTCAAGATTATATATGGGTTATTGCCCATGTAGGGGGTGTCAAAATCATTATGGCACCCTGTGATGATTTGTTTTGTATCCGCAATATTATGAAGGCTATCGGCAAAACATGTATGATGAATGGCATAACTACTAGGATGCTTATATATGGCCAATAGTGTGAGGTTGAAAATGAACTTTGGATGACTGAATATGAACATCTGGATGAGTATGAACATTTTGGATCTAAAAGTGAAAGTTGAATGGCTGAATTTGAGTAGGGAAAGGTTGGAGCTAATGTTGAATTGGAACGTGACATCTAAGATGGGGTTTGCATATGTATGAAAATATATTAGAAGTTAGCCAATAAATTATAGGATCATTCAATCAAGAAAATCAGGTAATCAAGCATGAAGAGTTTGAAACTCCTACACTAAAATCAGAGTAGTTTGTAATACTGTGGAGCCCAAACATGAGAGAGTGGTTTGTCTAGTCCAGCACCTTTATCACAACTAGCTCCATTAAAAGATCCTATACTTACTATGAGTGTACAAGCGATACCTTTTCAAGTTATGATTAGTCAAAACCTACCTTGCTATGCTACCGTTTTACCTCATCTAGGAGACGTACCCTCCAAGGATATCATGTCATTTAACAAATAGTTTCAACAATAACTTGTCATTTAACAAACAATTTCAGCCAAACCACTGAAGTCACAAATCAAGGAACTACAAGAGTTAAACCACCATAGCTAAAATTGAAGATAGAGGAAGAAGGAAGGCTCATGTTAATTCAACAATCACTGCTAAAAAAATAACATATATATAATGCCTTCTATATAATAGTTATTTCAAAAATCATTATATAGACATGGCAGGATTGGCTTCAAGAGACTATATATATAGGGGTTATTTTAAATAAATATTATATATTTTTTAGGTCTATATAGTAGTTATTTAGCAAAACCATTATATAGTCTTATTCTTTTTTGGGTAAATGTGCAAATTTACCTTGAAATTTTTCTTCCAGAGATATCCGGTATCCTTAACATCTGTAAAGTATATTTTTTAAGATGCACTTTTATTTTTTTTACTTTTAAATAATATCTCATATCTAAAAAATGAGAAAGGAGTTCTCAAAAGTCAAAAATAAATTAACCAAACACATTCTAAGAAAAGTCATCGCATTTGCATGAATGTGGTGACCTCAAACCAGTCCTGTCTCAGGAAGCTTTCATTTGTCGTCCTTGTAAGTCGTAACCACTCAAGCGCTCTTTGTCTCTCTTGGATAGGCAGTGTCATTCATAATCAGGTCCCATTATTGACATTAACTTTGTCGACTTTTATTCTCTTCAGACTGAAACAGACACTTATTTTTCCCCAAGTTTTTCCATTCTCATGCGCATTCCTTTTCCAACATGTAATGAATATCTTAAACAAGGTTGTCAAGTTCGTAAGTATAAGTAAACTCATGATAAGATTATAAACTCAAATCATAAACTCATAAGAGTTTATTTCCATTAATAAATAATTATTAAAATATAGGATTAAATAACTAAAACATAAAATATGATCATAATTTGATTTAAATATATTTTAAATATAAATTATTAAAATTAAATTCATCTACAAGGATTGATTATCATATTTAATATAAAAATTTTAAAATAGGACAACTCATTTTCAGTATTTTTTGTTTTTTATTAATATTAGTTTGGGAAAATTGATCAAAAAGACCAAGTTAGAAAGAAAATTGCTCCGAGGGACCAAATATTATTAAAAGACC